GGAGTCAATTGAGTCTTGAAGGCCTGAATAAGGTGCCTCAGGGCTGGTCTTTTCTGTATGGTGTTTTTGACAACCAGAAGGATGCAGCCGCTGCTAAGGACATGCCTGCGCCTGTTCTGATTGGGCTGGTGGAGTGTTAAAGCGGGTGTCTGCCTCTTCACCCTGTATTACCTTCGTCACTTAAAACCAAAACAATCCCTGTGTGGGAAGAGACGTAAAACTTAATTGAAAACATATGTGCACTGGTTGAGGCTGAGCATTTCCAACAGATTTTTTAAAAACAGTAGGTTCAAAAAAAACCCCAGGTCTGCATCCAGTTCCCAAATCAGTAAGACAGTTGATTTAACTACCATTGGAAAATGCTTGTCATTTTCCTGTAGCATCTGGTCCCCACTGGATCACTTTCATTTCCTTCACCTGCTCCCCCCACCAACCAATTTCTGCAGCTCTGCAACTGCATCCCTGCCCATCCTTACCCTTCTGCCCTTAACCCTCACCTCCTTGAACCCCCAATTTGTTTTTTCCCAATAAAAATTAAAAAAAAATGGAAAAAAAAAAAAACCCCAGCAGGTTCATGTGGATCCAAAGGTAATTTTTAAGTTCTATGGTTTCTTTATTTCTTCACAGAAAGAAGAGGAACGTTTGAGGGCTTCTATTCGTCGGGAATCTCGGCAGCGCCGCATGCGAGAGAAGCAGCACCAGCGGGGGCTGAGTGCCAGTTACCTGGAACCTGACAGGTATGATGAGGAGGAGGAAGGCGAGGAGTCCATCAGCTTGGCCGCCATTAAAAACCGATACAAAGGAGGCATTCGAGGTGAGTTGGGCAACAAGTTCAGTTTCATCTTTTCAGGATTTAGGAATTTATCTGTGCTGCCAGGCCGCTGGACACAGTGTTAATGAATGATTCTCACCAAGGTCTACTGAATTAATCATTGCACAATTCTAATGACCCTCAGTGGGAGCTGCTGTCGTTCACACTTTCAGCGTTGTCTTGTGAACTTCTGCTTTTTTGGGTTGAAAGGTTGTCAGTACTATTTGAAACTTTCCCAAACATCTTTTTATTATTGAGTAGGAATCAAGAATTTTAGTTATTGAGAAAACACATGGAGCTTCCTCTTTTACTTTGCTCTCAGTTCTCCTGTGACGGCCCCTCCTTTCACAAGTGTCAGAAACATAAGCATGGTTACCATTTATTCAGTACATAAGTGAGTATGAAACACTTGGATTTTATATGTATTTTGCTTAACCTTCATGACACTATTATGGCCCACACCCTCTCTAATTGCCATAAAGTCAATTCCGACTCCACCAGGGTAGAGTAGAATTGCCCGTGAGATGTCCAAGACTGCTCTATACAGTAACAGATTATCACATATTTCTTCTGCTGAACTAAGTGCCTAACCTCTGTGCCACTAAGGCTCCTTGCATTTGGCCCTGTTACGATCATTATTCTTAGGAAGAAAGCAGAATATCTTAAATTAAGACACAAAGATAGTAATCGTGGGGTACGGAGAGGGCAATCCTTGAATCAAAGTCTCCAGACATGTGTGAAGTCCAATTCAGTCACAATACCTGGTTATCGCTCTGAGATGTCTCCATAACCATCAGCAAGTAGTTTTTATAAGTAAACTAAAACTGAAGTTGGAAGACTTCAGCCGGACTGCTAATCCCACCAGCTTTAATTTCAGCTTTGCCACTTTGCAGTTATACAGAATTTTAACTTTTGCCAGCTTATCAGTGGAGGGGGGTGGGAGGGGGAACCCAGCAAAAGATTGTTTTTAGAAAAAAGTACCTATCCAAAAAAAAAAGTACCTATCCTAGAACCTTGAACATAACTCGGTAATATTAAATAAAGAGTACATCAAACCACTGTTAACTATTCTTGCCATTCATCAGCTTTGGACAAGTGACTGTACATCTCTGCATACTGTTTGCCTCACCCGTTTAATGAGGGTCTAAGATGTCCTGATCTGCTTTGTAGAACTTTGGGAATCACAGTACCATGAGAGATGTACCTTTGGGGACCATGCATATGCTGATTTTATCCCCTCTTAGGCTGATGAAATTATAAGACCATTTAAGTCTTCCTTTCTCTGACCACTCCACCTTTTTTCTTATAGTGACTGCATTTATCCTGCTGTGTGCTATTTATACTGGTTCTTCCTGTTGTTTATTTTGGGGAGCTCTGGTGGCGTTTTCTATAGGGAGTTGCACTGTTAAGCAAAGGCTGAGCCTCCCTGGCAATTCAGATCTACCAGTCGCTCCACAAGAGATAGATGGGCAGTCTCTTCCAGTGAAACTTGCTGGAGGGTCAGCTATGAAAAGGTTCTGACACCATTGCAGTCAGTGAGTGAGTGATTTGAGTGGTTAAGTTCTTAAACCACCTCGAGGCACCTTGAAAGCAGGCCTCCCAGCCTTCTGAAAGGTCACTTTGAAAACTATGGAGCAGTTCTGCTTTGCACACAAGGATCGCCCGGAAGCAGAATTGACTGTTTTGGTAATGTTCCTTTCCATAGAAAATTATTAGCTGTGGAAATAAATTAGAACAAAACGTAGATGAAACAAAAAATAAGAATGTTTATTGTGGGAAACAGGTATGTAAATTAGTTCATGTGAGAGTCAAGTCCTAACAGATTAAGTATATTAGTGTTCATTTCTGTACTACAGCCAGATACACCCAAACTGGGAGGAAGAGGTGTTCCTCAGTGACAGATGACTCTTAGTCCACCCCGAGGTTCACCTGAGATTAAGCATCACTAGGCTCCAATCAGCCCTATCTTCCTTTGTTGTCTGTTTGGAAACAGTCTTTTATAAAACCAGAAAACTCCCTTTTTGCTTTTGTCTTCCAAGTTTATTTAACCCCAGCGGAAGAATGATCCAGGCTTTAATAGTTCACTTTTAAAATGTATCAACTATTTGTCTTTTAAAAAAAAATTTATGTGGTCAGATAAATTATTGTTTGTATTTGTTTTGCATTATATTTTGAGAAGATAAGTTGACTTCATTTAAACATCTCTAACTTATATTTGTTTTGAAATTTTAAAAATTACTGGTTCTTCTGGGGAAAGTTTATGGAGAACTAAAGGTACTCAGTAGAAGAAAATTTCAGGAATAGAATTCATAAGAAAATGTCACCATCTTTGGAAGTCAGTTGTAATCCTTTTCCTTTACTTTCAGAGGAACGAGCCAGAATCTATTCTTCAGACAGCGATGAAGGATCAGAAGAAGAGAAGGCTCAAAGACTACTCAAAGCAAAGAAACTCTACAGTGATGAGGTAAAACCAGATCTTTTTCAATTGTAATTTACCATCTGCCCAGGTAGAGGGTCAGCTAAAGAGAGGAAGATCCTCAGTGAAGTGAAGTGGCACGTTAATTACCACAGTGATCTTGAGCATGACAGAGATTGTGAGAATGCCTCAGGACTGGGCAATGTTCACATCTGTTTCTAGGGTCACTGAGTTGGAATTGATTGAACAACAACTAACACTAGCCTTTTCTGAGAGCTACCTTGAAGGGGAACTCACAGACTACTCAGGGAACCTGAGCTAAAGGAGGTACGTGAGCTGGAATGATAGTGACTAGGGACCTAGTATTTTTAACCTGCCCTGCTTGAGATAAGAGCCTCTGTTCTGAGATTTGAGGCTGGGTCAAGGAATGGAACACTCAATCTCTTGGCTGTACTAACTAGGAATTTGGCCTCATCATAGAGGAATTGCAGGGAACGGGTAATGCCAGTGGCCTACCATCTGCCAGTGAGATACGTTCTCGTTTAGGGAGGGGACAGAGCGCTATTATCTTGGGCACACATTTCCTGTAAAGCTTAGCTGGGGGAAAAGAGGAGTTTGTCATAATTAAATGCCGCAGTCTCTCATTAATTCTACTGAGCTCTTGTAGATTTTCCTGGAAAAGTGTGCGTTCATTTGCTGTGCCTTTAGAACAGTTTCTGTGCAATTTAAATGGTTGATTCCTCCCCTCCCCCTTTACGATTTTTGGCATGTTTTTCTTTTTACTGTGGGATTCGCCCGTGAAGCTTCTACAATTGCCATTCAAGAAATCAGAAAAATAATTTCTTTTAACAGCTGCTTCTTAGGTCTTGATCTTCGATATTCTGCAGTTTTACTATAGTGTGCCTAGTTGGGATGTTTATTTTTATATCCTAATTGAAATTGATTGGGTTTTTTTACGGGTTTTTTGCTCTATGAATTGTTCTTTCATCAGTTCTAGAAATTTCTCAGTTATCAACTCCCCATTTATTACTTCAGCATTTTCTTTCTCCTTTACTTTGAAACTGATTAAATGCATACTTTCTCTTCATACTATTCCTCTCCATATTATTCTTTAAATGTCTGTATTTTCTTTATTCCCCCCTCACTCTGTTATTTCTTTGAATTCTTATTCACTATTTCTTTTTTCTACTGTGTCTGATCTTTTCTGGGTTTGTTTGTGTTTTGTTTTCTTTTTTAATTATTATTTTGTGTGTGTGTGTGTGTGTGTACTGTCAAATCAGATCTGACTGGTACAGGAGGGTCTTACCGCTCCTTCTTCAGCAGGGCTTCTGGTGACTTTGAACCACATACCTCTAGGTGACCTTTTCATTGAATTAAATATTTTCTTTTTTATCTTTACAGGATTCGGTTTCTTTTTCTGATAGGTTTTACAGTTATAAAATCTCATATGCCTTATTTATCTTTGCAGTTTTCTTCTTTTATTACTTTAAATATTTTTAACCTGTGTAATTGGCAATACCGTGATAGATGGAGAAGAGATTGAGGTTGTTAACAATTACAGCTTACTTGACTCCACAGTCTTGGCATCAGCAGTCAGGAAATCAAAAGGTGGATTACACTGAGAAAATCTGCTGTCAAGGACCTCTTCAGAGTACTGAAGAGCAGCGATGTCAGTCTGGAGAGTAATGTGCGCCTGATCCAGTCCATATTCTTTGCAATTACTTGTTATACATGAGAGAGCTGGAAAGTGACTAAGGATGACAGAAGAAGACTAGAGGCCTTCAAGTTGTGGTGCTGGAGAAGAGCCTTGAACATGGACTGCCAAAAAAGAAATAGAGAAGGTGAAACCAAGTGTCTCCTTGGAGGCTAGGATTGTGAAGCTCCATCTCACATACATCGGGCACGTGGCCATGAGGGACCAGTCCTTGGAGAAGGACATCATCCTTGAAAGGGAGGAGGGACAGCACAGAGAGGAAGGCCCTGTATGAGATGGCTTGAGACAGTAACTGGGGTAATGGGCATAGGTGTATCTAAATCAGTGAGACCGGCTCAGGACATGGCAGGATTCAGAACTGTTGTACACAGGGTCACTATGAGTCACAGGTGACTTGATGGCATATAACAACAACAGTGTGTACTGTGTTTTATAATACATGTATGTTGAGGTTTGTAAACTTGATGTCTCATTTTACAGCCTGTGAATGCTACTGTCTATCCATGGATCTTGATTTCTTAGTGTGTTCTTATTGATTAACTGAGCTAATGTTAATGGGAAATTTTTAAAGCTTACAGTGGTGAATTTCTACCAAGATTTCTATAGATAGTAGGACATTGTCATGGACTCTTTCTTCAACTGAGATGGCATAAAACAAAGAAACAAGTAACCATTAATTTATACAGAGAAAAAAAAATCACCTCCTCTTCAGCAATGATTTTGGAGAGTATTCAGGATCTATAGAATGGATGAAACAATGCTTTTGTTGTTTGGTACCATTGAGTTAAGAGTTGACTCATAGTGATGCTGTGAAGAAGAGATCTGAACCCTGGCCTATCCTTTTCCGTCCTCATCATATCTCACACATGTAAGCCCATTGCTACAGTTTTTGCATCAATCCATCTCATTGAGCGTCTTTTCGTTCACTGATCCTTCACCTATCTAAGGATTATCCTTTCCTAGCAACATGCTCAAATTAGATGAGACAAAATTTCATTACCTTTGTTTCCAAGGCTCACTCTGGATGCACTTTTTTAAGACATATCTATTTTTTCTTTTGGTAGTCCATAGAGTATTCAGCACTCTTTTTCCAGCACCACAACACAAAGGCAAAAAAAAAATAGCCTCCGCAATAGCATGTTTACAGTCCAGAGCTGTGCCTTGATGCTGAAGCTGTGCCTTGATGCCGAAGCTCTGCCTTGATGCCAAAGCTGTGCCTTGATGCTCAGTGTAGTTCATTCCAGAGAAGCTTGGTGGCATCACTGTCCTGGTGGCATCACTGTCCATCCCCCAGGTGCCCACTGCCTTGTTTAGTAGCTTGCTGCAGAACAGATGGAGAACCTCGTTTTGATTTTTTCACCTTCCTCCTCCCCCTCCCCGTGAACGTGAGCCCCCTTTGGGTTTCTTTGTTATTTTTAATCTGCAGAGCAGTTCTGAAGTCTCAGATTGGGAAGGACTCTGTTGTTGAGAGCGAGGACTAGCAAATTATGTCCCACAGACGTTTCAGTGGCCTCTTTTTTTATTTTGTTGTTTTAATGCAGTTTTATTGGGACCACTTAATGTCCGTTAACTTAAATTTTTAAATTCTGCTTTCATGGCTGGGTAGGTTTAATAGACAAAAGGCCCGAAACATTTTCCACAAAATGTTTGCCGACCTCTTTCTTAGACTGCTGGGCTGGGTTTATTTCTGGTTTTCCCTCACACTGACAAGGAAGGCCTTTTGCCGGGCTCAGCTTTATTTGTGGGCTGTCGGTTTGCTCTGAGTGTGCTCCCCTGAGCAGGTCTTGGCATTTATCTTCTGTCCTGTGCACCTGCAGTGCACCTGCTTACATTCACAGATTGGTAAATGTTCTCAGGGGACAGACTGCTCGGTGTGCTACTTAGCTCTTTGGTTCTTGCTTTTGCTTCATTTTTTGCCTCTAATTATATCTGACTTTCTTGTCATTATATTAATTTCTTTTTTTTTAAATTTTATTTTTTATTTGTTATACTCTTTATTTACCTATATTAATTTCTGAATACACTCCAGCATTTTTAGTTCTTTGCAGTGGGAGAGTTGGTTGAAAAATTGTTCTGTTCTACTGCAGGAAAGGGCAGTCACGTTCCTGTTACCTACAGTTTTAAAACTGTCGACTCATTTTGGCCTTTCAAGAATTGTGAGCTTCCATGGGCATTTTTCTCACGTGAAGCAGAATTCTGTTCTTACTCATTGCCGTTAAGCCATTCCTAACTCAGTAACCTGAGTAACCCTGTGCCTGTCACTGTAGGACTGAACTCTCCATAGTGTTTACATAGCTGGGTTTTAGGAAGAAGATCACCAGGCCTTTCTGAGGCATACCTAGGTACACTTGAGCCTACAACCTTTTGGTTGGAGCTTTGCCCCTTAGCCACATGGACTCCAGAATTCTGTTGTAGGGTTCTGCTAATCATAATTAGTGTTTCTCAGTAATTCTTGCAAGTGGCAGCCTTTGGAAGATAACTGGACAGAAATTGTTCTTTTACAACATACTGTGTTAGTTTTAAATTAGTTAAGAAAACATCTTAGTGATGCATTTATAGTGTGTTGAACTGTTGGCAGACAGAATCATCATCCTTTAAGCAGCTGCTCTTTTATTTCTTGGCAAGCAGAAACTGTGAATGAAAATTGAGAAGTGCCATGGGACTTCCGGTGGCTTATTACTTGGTGCAGTTTTTAAATATGGTCTACTAGAAGGTCTTCCAGGCTGTGCAGTGTTAAACCTAAAACTATCTGACTTAAAATGACCTCCTGTGAATGACCTCCTGTCTGTCATAGGAACCCACTGCTCTCTGCCTTCCCCACCTAACTACTCTCTTGGGCTCTCCACACTCCTTACCCAAGAGTCTCCTTTGCCTTGATTTCCAGACCCTGCCATTTTCATGTCATCCACCCAGTTTCTGTTTAGGTCGCAGTAGAAAAGAGGGTCCATTTGTACTGTCAGGCTCTCCTAGAATGACTTGCCCAAACATCGTGAGTCAGTGTGCATCTAACTTGCAGGGGAGCCTTCAGTTCCTGTGTTCCCGCACTACGGAGCCACCGTTGTCAGCAGCACATTGGTGTGGGAGAAAGGATTTGGGGCTTGATTCTACTATGACTTTGAACAAAGCATCTAACATTTTTACCTCATTTATTCCATGCGGTCTTTGTAGAGTTGTGCGGCACAGTAAAGAACAGACATGGCAGTAGCCGTAGTTGAGCAGTAAATAAATAATGTAGTAGTCGTCATCGTCGTCATCAGTTTAAGTAGTACTAAATAAATGGTAGTTTTCCTTCCCTGATAGGGCTTAAGTTACCAAAAAGGAAAAAGTAGAAAGGAAAGCTTTTTAGCTTCCCTCACTTTTTCAGTCAGCAATAACTGTAGAAAATCTAAATTACCTCAAAGAGACAAAGAAGGAGATGGAGAAATTGTGGTGGTATCCTGTTCTCCAGGAACAGGAGAAGTCCCAGAATGGAAGAAACAGATGGAGACAATGGACAGGAAATTTATTTTCTTTTTAAGGATTGATAGGCTTTAAGATACTGAATTTTAGATGAAGTAGATTTAAAAAGTAATTCCCTGATCATGGTGAAAATAGTGCAGCAGGGTAAGTGTAGAGACAAGTGTCCCACTCTGACCCTTCCCAGAGTGTCCAGGTGTCCTCCAGGGACACAGCTTACAATGGCGTTGTTCCTCCTCACAGTTGGCGCGGGTCGGAGGTTGCATTTCACAGTTAGTTTTTCATGAACTCTGCATACTTGTCAGTTTTCAGTGTCTCTAATACGTGCAGACTTCAAAACTGGCATTTTAAGGTGAATATACTTCTTAAAGGGATCCATAGTGACTCTGTTAAGTATTGGGCTACTACTAACTAAAAAGTTCGTGTTTAACTCCACCAGGAGAAGGATGAAGTAATTTTGTAAAGATTACAGTCTTAGACACTCTGTAGGATACTTCTACTCTGATCTAGAAGATTGCTGTGAGTCAAAATTTTCTAGATAGTGGTAGAAATTTTAGTATGTATTAATGCTGTTATTTTCTTTTTTATAATCAGACAGTTGTTCAACTTATAGATTTATTCGATACAATATCTAAGAAATGTTCTATTTTGACTTTCAGATTTTTTATTTATATATTTCTTTTTTAGGGATTTCTTTTTTCTCGAAAGAGAAGAGCAGAAGATGATGATAAAGCAAATAAAAAGCATAAGAAGTATGTAATCAGTGATGATGAAGAAGAAGAAGAAGATGATTGAAGTACAAAATGTGAAAACATTTTCTATATTGTTCAGCTTTGTTCTACGTATATATGATGCAAACATTTGTTATTTTGATCACAATGAATTGATTCTCATTTGTGTAATTTTAATTGTGATAAACATTTTTTAAAACCAAGCATGTATTTCCATTGTAAATTTTTTTGGGTTATTTTTCTTGTTGAAGAGTTGGAGTTTTCTATACATTTTAGAGATGAACTCCTTGTCAGAGTGTCACTGCCAGTATTTTTCTCCCAAGTCTGTAGGTTCTCTTCTTACTCTTTTGGAGAAGTCTTCAGATGCACATAAGGATTTCATTTTTCAAAAAGACCTGGAGAGACCCAACAAAAAAGACATTCAGATGACAGGCACATGAAGAAATGCTCACATTCCTTAGTTATCAGAGGTGCAAATCAAGACAGGAATGAGCTGTCATCTCACCCCAGCAACAATACAAAGTTCAGCAAGACAGCAGACTACTAAATGCTGGTAAAGGTGGGGAGAGAGCAGAATTCTTATGCACTGCTGGTCATATTGTAAAGGGTACAACCACTACAGAAAGCAGTTGGTGCTTTCTGAGAAAGTTTACTAGATACACCATTTGACTTAGCAATCCCACAACTAGGTAGGTATCAAATAAGATCTGCAACACAAGCTGACTGACATAATTCACATGCATGTTTATTGGAGCACTACCTACAGCAGCAGAGTTGGAAACAGCCCATTAATGGATGAAGAGCAAAAGGGAAATGATGATACATTCACAAAGTAGAATGTGATCCAGCACTAAAAAATGATCAAGATCTTGTGAAATATTGCACAACATGGGTGAAGCTAGAACAAATTATACTGAGTGGCATCAGTCACAAAAGAGCAATGATGACGTAAGACCACCAATATAAAAATAACTATTTGTACACAGAATCAATCTTGGAAGGGTAATGGGGATGGGAGGATAGGCAGAGGGCAGTCAAAATAAGGTGGATGAATGGAAAGCAGTACAAAGCAAGAGGTTAATTGTTGTTGATTGCCTTGGAGTCTAGCGCAACTCATAGCGACCGTATAAACAAAAGGCCTGAAGCCCCTCTTCAACTATCAACATTTATCAAAGTTCATAGAGTTTCCGGAGGCATTTTATTTAGGAAGTGGATGCCACTCCTGCTTCCAACATTGTAATTAATTACATTAGTGGTGATATTATTAAACAAAATCTGACTTTGTATGAAAAGTCAGTATGGTTTGTAAACCTTCACTCAAAAATTTAAAAAATTACCTGATTAGCCTTTTTTTTTTAAAAAAAAAACAAACCAACACTCCAAACCAAATGCAAACCTCTGTATTCCAGAGGCTTCCTTTTCCTATAGCAAGTTTCTTTTAGTACTTGTTTTCACTAAGCCTTAGATTTTACCAGAGCCAATGAGTGGTATGAACAGTTAGCACTGCTACTCAAAAAAAGCTGGAGGTTCAAGTCCACCCAGGTGCTTTGGAGGGAAGGCCTAGCAATCTACTGAACGAAGCAGTCATTGGAAACCTGTGGAGTACGTGTCTAGGCTGGCGCACACAGGTTTGCCATAGAATAAACTCAATGGCAGCTGTTTCTTTTTAGGTTTTGGTGAGTTCTGCTCTTCAGCACGGTTCTCTTTGGTCCATTCTGGACAAAGAAGCCTGACTTCAAGGCCAGAGCTAGGATGAAGTGAGGCTCTGTTTTAGGTGAAGAGTTTAAAGAGGTACAAAAACTTTTTTTACTTTTCAAAGATAGACATAACAAAGTACCACAAAAGGTAGTTTAACACAAGAACTGATTGACTCAGCCTTCTGGAGGTTGTCAGAGGGCCCTTGCCGTATCCTGTGTCATTTTCATGGCCCACACCACTCAAGCCCATTGTTACAGTCACTGTGTCAATCCATCTTGTTGAGAGTTTTCCTCTCTTGCTGACCTTTTACTTTTCCTACCATAATATCATTGTAATATTGCACACAGCTTTAGTTTGCTTGGCTCCATAGTCAACAGTCTTGCCACCAGCAGCCAGGAAATTAAAAGG